CCCCTGCCATACATTATGGACGCAGCCTAAGATTAAAATTAATTTGATACCTATTTTGCTTTTGATGCTCGTGTGACTTTGTTTTACATTTTGTTAATTTATTTTAATTTAATTCAATTTATTTTATTTTATTTAGGTGTTAACAAGATTTATAACCCTGGGCTGTAGAGAGCAGCTTCATTTCGTTTACGTCGAACCTCGTCTACACATTTCCCTTGCTTATCTGAGGAAAAAGTGGAAGCTTAATCTTGCGACTGAATCACAAAAAGATAATCATTAAAAATGAATAAAAAAACCAGCGATGACGGAAGTTAAGGTTAACGTTTTACAACAAAGCGTTTTAAAGTGCGGAGGGAAAACACCAAATACCCCTGAGAAAAACCCTCGAAGGCAGGAAAGATTCATTTGATTGTGGATTCAGGTGTCAAGCTCACGACCACAGCGAAGAGAGATGTAATTGCAATAGGCGTGTTAAATGTTGAATTATTTGATAGCAACTTTCTTAGCAGAACTAGAAAAAATTCAAGATCTTTGCAGACCAATTACAATCCAAATACTCACCAAGTCTTGCAAACACAGCCACTTCGCACATTGATAATTTTCCAATACCTATCTTCTGTACTGACACGAACCGTCCAGCGATGTAAGGCCAACATTGTGACGTCCAAACTTCGCCATCCTGAATCTCTCTTAGCCTATCACCACACATTGGGTTTTGCATGAATGCTCGTGATGCTTGTCGAAGATTCCCAACACGAACTTCAATGGACGTGAGCTCAAGATCAGGATGATCTACGAATATCCAGTTCAAAGTATACGTAACTACGTTTTAAATGACGATAAATATTAAGGTGTTTTGTTTTAGGTATATCAAATTTTATGATGGAAATTTGAATGATATTTTCAAGTTTGAAAAATTAGGAAAATATTACGAAATTCTATTTTCTTTCGAAAAAGAAAATATGTACCAGAAATCGAAATTGTATAACTATTTTCACATCCTTTCTATATGGACGTAAAACAAAGTATTAAAATACTTATTAAAATCTTATGAAATTCTTATAAAATTATAAAGTAAAAATAGAGAGCAACAAGAGTTGAAATCGTACTCTGCGAAAAATAATTATAGACTTGTATTGATATTTTGACAACATGCAAGGATATTTTTATATATAGCTCAGTCTTCGAGGTGTAATAAGGGTTGTACTTTCTCTCCCTGGCTTATTCCAGCACAAACGAGGTCGATAAATTTCAAAGAACAGCAAATTTTTGAAGTGATGAGGACGAACTGTGAGTTTCCCTGCGCCGCCATGTTTGTTTTGCTCTTATGTGAAAGGCCTGGTTTCAAAATAGCACAGGCAGCCCAACTTGAGAACCATGTTTCAGTTTCAAAAGAAACAAAATTCTTTTTTACCGAGAAATTCCTGCGTCGTGACCTTTCCACTAAACATTTACATAAAGTGATCTTGAAGTTATCTAGGGAACTGTTATGTATTTATCGCATGGGGGTACATGGGGTTGCATGGGGGGGGGGGGGGGGGGGATTAAGGTGGTATTACACATAAAGAAATGAGCATTTTGAAGCAAATTGTCAAAATGCAAAACACCATTGATTGTAATCATTAATCACTTCTTAATGATACAGTTGATTTTCTCAATTTGCCGAAATGGCTACATGGTAAATTTCAGACATGATATTTTTCTTGTTTTTTTTTTAGCCAAATGCCACGAAATCAACAAGGAAATCTAACAATGTATGGTTCTAAAAGATAAACTATACAAAACTAATAATATTTGGCAAATTGTTCATTATAAAAAAGCTAGACTGCAAGCGCCACGACACTTTTTAAGGGTAATACCGCTGATCACTCGTCCCAGTCTCCATTCCCCGTTCCCGGTCATTCCCCATTCCCCATTCCCCATTCCCCATTCCCCATTCCCCATTCCCCATTCCTCATTTCTGTTTTAGTAACGTCCTTTTACTTATTACCAAAATTACATCTACAATAGTGAGAAAAACTCATCTTTTGTTAGTTTGAGTCATAAACAAACTATTTAGAAATAGTTCAAAACAAATTGTGTATTTCTTTTGTCAATAGTTAATGCGTTATTTGGTTTACAATAACCACCACTTTTTTCGCCTTCGGGTTCGAGTTAATTATTAACTATGAAAATATTTGGTCCACCATGACATTTTTTTGTCAGTGTGGTCTTCTCTATAACATGCAATGAAGTGTTTGTTGTTATGCTTTTTCAATAAAATGTTCATTTGATTTGTATAATCCCACCTAAAGGTTTTACTGGGGGATGTTTTTAGGCAACTGAAAGGAAGATAAATAGGCAACTATACGTTGACAGGTATTAAGGGGGAATCAATCAAGATAATCGAGAAAATACCAAATACTATATATGGTAATGGGGGATCATTTAAAAATGTGTTTCACCCTCCTTGCTCCCCCAAACTGCTCCCTCACTCTGCTTCCTCTCCCCGCTTCCCCACCCAGCTCCCCCTTCCCGTTCCCCCAACCTGCTCTTCCCCACCCACAGGCGATGAATAATAATATGTACAGGTACAATACCTGATTCTCCAACAATACTGACGTCTGTTACAAGGTGTTCTTTCCTCAGATCAACAATCCACCAAGGATCTTTCTCGTTACTAGTTAAAATACATGAACCACCCTTCAAGCTGGAAGACAAGTCTCCGTCTATAGCTAGATGTGGGCCGTATCCGTCTTCATCACGGCTAGATTGATCAGCTATCCCATTTAACGCGATATCTAAAATAGAATTATCGATGGTAGAGTACAAACACTATAAGTGTGTAACATAAATACCACTAAATACTGCTAAATTATGCTAATCCTATTATTTTCTATTGTTTAATTAGCACTATTTACTACTAAATAGTGCAAAGTGTTTCACACTTTTAGTGTTGGTACTCTATTCATTGTATTTTGGGGGCTATTAAATTTAACTTTTTGTTTGCTTTTCTTGCTGTTTTTTAGGGTGGGTAAGTGGATGGGTTGTTTGTTGTTTGGGTGGGTGGGTGGGTGGGTTGGTTGATTGTACCACATAATAATAATACTGAATTCTATCTGTTCTTACCTACGACGAACCGTTCGCATACGCTAACACCTTTCATGTCGCCATGCACTTTCCACTTCTGTGCATTTGAACTCGCATCGCAGGCATGGAGCAAGACTCGGTGATCTTATAATCAAAGTTTTAAAAAAATTACTTTAACCACGTTCCCTCACAGAAATTCACAAAACCCTCGTAGCAGAGAAGAGAACAACACATCAAACAATCTATCTCAATTCGGCGACCGCAGGACTCGAACCAGAGACCCGACCCGTTGGATTCACAGCTGTGAAAGACGACGCGCATGCTACCCATGCATCCCCGGGTATTGTAACCATTTCCTGTCTAGCCAAATGTCATGCCCAGTCTCCCAGCGGATTACCACTCCATCTCCCATAAATCTATTGCCTACCTGCAATCGACTTCCAGTTGCCCAACTCCTGTTTTTCACCTGATATCGAGAGGCACATATCTGGAGCTACCTTTGGCCTTAATGTCATTAATGTACAATCAAACTTTTGAAAATCCGAGGCAATACTGCATTCGTCAAGTTGGACTGGAAATTTGTTCATCATTCCCTTGAATGTCAAACAGAGACCTGATTGGATATTCTATTGAAAAAAAAGATAAATAATAATAAATAAAGTCAATAGACGTATGGCACGCTGCTTGTTGACTCAACAGTGATATACAGTGACAGAAATAAAATAAAATAAAAAAACTGTGCTTAGTGTCCTTGAAATTGAATAAATACAGTTTTCGATCAGGATGTCACATGACATCTGAATTCCCATTCAGTCTAGCTAGCCAACGGTCCTGACTTTGATCAGCCCAGAGGTTGTTTCAGGATTTGATCTGCGAATTAGCCATGCTTTGACTTAGATAAGCCCAGAAGTTTTTTTCAGGGTATCGATACAATCGTAGGTTTTTGTCTTACCATGATTGCTCCGGCCATTGTGTAGGCGAAGACCGTTGTTGCTTTATCACAGCCATCAGTATAGAGCGGTCGATCTTTCGAAACCACGGCTGCCAAGCATTCATTACTATCCATACTAACAATTTTCATCTCACCTAAAGATTTGAAGGAAATAGGCTAAGCTTTTATCTAAATTGTGCTTGCTAGTGGTCTAGCTTTACGAACATCGTCTAGCTGTTCATCATTCCTTATATAGTGTTGTTTGTACCGAAGCTAGACCAGGATACAACTTGTTTGTCTATCTCAGGAAAGACCTATAGCTAGTCCAAAATTAGACCCCGACACCCCGGAGATAAGTGTACTACCACTACACCACCCTTGATTCTCTAACGTCCCACATACATGTGTAAATACTCACCTGACAACTGATAATCAGATTTGTCACTCGGAGTGCCATAGATTGCCTTGGTAATCCGAAAAGAGTATCGTTCGATGAAGTGCCACAAAGCTTTCACAGCCAAGTCCTTAGCGCTACTGAGGATGTTCTTTAAATCTATTTTCAAGTCAAAATTTAAGTTTGTATCAAATAACGTGAGATCCACCGACAGCATTTGCGTTGCATCGAATGAAGCAGTTAATTTTCCACTAAAAGAGAGCTTGTTTATGAAGAGCATGTTTTTGGTGGTAAATGAAACCGCCCGGTCAGCCCAAGAAAACAATTTCTCGGTTTTACCAAGTTCAGCTTGAGCGTAATCAAGCACATGACACATGCCTTTTACCATGTGACCAGCGGTACTACAGGATCCTGAAATCACGTGAATGTTGTAAAAAGTTTAATTCTTACAAAAGCCGTCCTATGAAAGTTAGTGACAAGTTGTTGCACTGACAGAAATTTTGTCATTCCCCAGAATACCTTTCGCCGGTTACAGCTTCCGTGTTTTTTTTCTTTCTTTCTTTCTTTCTTT